CTCTCTCTCTCTCTCTCTCTCTCTCTCTCTCTCTCTCTCTCTGGGGTACAGTCACTTCATTTTTTGCGGCTTGTGTGGTCCGAGGGAAGTCTAGCCATGATCAGCTTGAGGTATAGATATCGTTTTTCCTGTAAGTCGTGTGTAGTTGGGACTGTCCCCTCTGAGCACTTTTTATAGTACTTATCATTTATGCAATTATACATTTTTTTAAGGCTGTTGGCAGATAGCTTCATAATTCAGTCTAGTTTGACTGAATGCCTTTCAGATTTGATGATTTCAGGGATGAGTCCTTTTAATTTTTTGATCTGTCAGGTGTTTGCTACTTCTTTTCAAAAATTTAAGACGCTGTTAAGGAGCACGCATCACGGAATCGTGATAGACTTTCCTATCGCTGCACTTGACAATTTTAAACGCTTCCAGCTAAAAGTCGTTAAACGAAGAGCCGCTGTTTGCTCACTGACCCTGTAATGACAGCTCCAGTCCTCTGATTACAATGCTCATAATTTACTCAGCAAACAATTTTAACGTTTCTGCGCTGGAAACGGAATTTAGTCGTTAAATATTAAAAAGTTTTGCAAAAAAATGTCACTGGATTTTTCCAGATGGTAATTTGAACGTTAGTGGAGGCCAGGAATGTTGGGATCAGGGAGCGACTTCAAACAGTCCGGCATCTCCACTTCCCTTTGAATCGGTTCAAATGTCTGTATTACCGACAGAGGAGCAAGCAGTTCACGTGACGCCACAAATAATCAGTATGCTTTCCATGTATATAAAACATTTTGCTTATGTTCCTTTCTACCCATCGATTTTGTTTGCTCTTTTAGCTTGTTTAAATGAAACTTTGAAGCACTTAATTGCTTTTTTTGGGTGTAGATGGGGAGGTGTTCTTTTCGAATTTCTATTATGTCTTATATCAGAATAATGCGCGACTGTCCTGAACCGCGAAATCAAACGTGAGCTGCTTGCGGGTTAGACACAAATGTGTCCTAAAAATGTCCTTTTCTCGGTAAACTATATGCTGATGTTTTTCTGGTTTTTCCTCTTAATTTTGCTTATCAGGTCCCTTTTATTTTGGGTAGATGAATAGTTATTTTTTTAAATTTTGCTCTTACCTACTGTAGTACTAGCATGTTGTTGGGGGGACGGGAGAAGAAGGGGGAGGAAGTCGATCAGATCATAATTGAAATTGCACTTCTATGTAAAGTTATTGTAGTGTCACCTTTTTACTCCTGTCTTTTTCTAGTCCCTGCATTCATATTTCTCATATATATATATATATATATATATGTATGTATATATACATGTATATGTATGTATGTATATATATGTATATATACATATGTATA